TCGCCTGCATCTATGGCAAGCATCCTTAGAGGTTGTGAGGTCTAGAACATGGCCATATAGCCCGAAAAACCTACAACAACCCATTGTGAGGTTGTCGGAAACTAGACAAGTGGGGTTTATATATCTGCTGAAGGTCCAGGGTGGGAGAAAGAACTCTTTCCTGTATTGTCGAAGGCTTCCATGGCCTGGGTTGTTGTAGGTTTTTTCGAGCTATATGGCCATGTTCTAGAGGCATTCTCCTGACGTTTCGCCTGCATCTATGGCAAGCATCCTCAGAGGTTGTGAGGTCTGAACTCTTTCCTGTTGGAGGCAAGTGTGAATGTTGCAGCTTCAAGGCCTCACAGCTTCAAGGCCTGGCTGCTTCCTGCCTGGGGGAATCCTTGGCAGTGTCATCTTTTCCTCAATGCCATCCTGAGCTTTGCGGGAAGTTTTCCTTTTCACATTCAGCTCCAAAAGGAGGGGTAACCACCTCCATCAAAGCATCCCTCGGATAACTGAGAAGTTCTCCATTCATGTAACAGTTGGTTTGAAGTTAATCTGGATTGGTGGTGGGGGGTCTTTTTGCAGCTACTGAGCTTTAGAGAATGTAGAGTCACTTTGGGAATGTGTTTCTTGTGTGACATGCTTTTTGGCAGACAGTCAAAGTTCTGTAGCCGCAAAAAGGTGAAAACATCACCAGCTGCTGCATGTTGATAAGCGACAGAGACGTACCCTCATTGCAGTTGGAAGGTAAGTAACACCGCCTCCAGGTATCCGTGTTTCGGATTTTGAATGTTTGCAGAGACCGTGGTTGGTGGTCTATATATATTTGTAATATCTGCAAGCCCTATATATCAGGACAAAGCAAGTCATGTTTTGTTGCAGCATTCACACAATACTCTAGGTCTGTTTGCCTATTTATTTAAAGACTTAGAGATTTGGATGAGACCAGAAGGACCATCCCATGCAACCCTCTTCTGCCAGGCAGGGATACACAACCCAAACCCTCCTGACAGATGGCCATGTAGCCATCCATCCAGGTGCTTAAAACCTCCCAGAGAAGGAGACTCCACTGGATTTGCAGGAATGTGTTCGACTGTTGAAAAGCTCTTCCTAATCGTCAGATGTAATCCCGTTTCCTTTATCTGAATCCATTGCAGGGTAAACATTATCTTGATGGTTAAAGCTGTTTGACAGTGGAATACCCTATATACTCGAGTATAAGCTGATCCAAATATGAGCAGAGGCATCTAATTTTACCACAAAAAACTGGGAAAACGTATCGACTTGAGTATAAGCCGAGGGTGGGAAATGCAGCAGCTACTGGTGAATTTCAAAATAAAAATAGATGCCAATAAAATTGCATTAATTGAGGCATCCATAGGCAAAATGTTTTGGAATATTTACCGTATTTCAAAGAAAAACAGTAAACTTTCTCTGTATGTGGAAAAGTAGGTCAAGAAAAACAATATGGTATCAACAATAACTTAATAATAATAATAATAATACTAATAATAATAATAATTCATATTTATCACACCCTATCTCCCCATAGGGACTCAGGCTGACTTCCAATATAGTAACAGGCAAACATTCAATGCCTATATATATACACAATGCAGAGCTAGATATAGATCTATAATTATATATAGTAATTTCACATATGCATTTCCCCCTGAAACATTTGCAAATCCTCTTATATATCTGCATTTCCCTCCTGCAGTATTTGCAAGCCCTATATATCTATGTTTATATCTACTGAGACGTGTGTGTGTGTGCATTTCCCCTGAAATATTTGCAACCCATATATGTCTATATTCATATCTATCTTGCAAATCTTCTCTCTATATGTGCATTTCCCTCCTGAAATATTTGCAAGTCCTATATATCTATGTTTATTTCTATCTAGATATCTCTCTCTGTATATATGTGTGTGTATTTCCCCTGCAATATTTGCAAACCCTATATATCTATATTCATATCTATCTTGCTAATTCTCTCCCTATATGTGCATTTCCCTCCTGCAATACTTGCAAGTCCTATATATCTATGTTTATATCTATCTAGATATCTTTCTCTATATATGTGTGTGTGTATTTCCTCTGCAATATTTGCAAGCCCTGTATATCTATATTCATATCTATCTAGACATGTCTATATATATTTGTGTGTGCATTTTCCCATGTAATATTTGCAAGCCCCATATATCTAGATTCATATATATCTATTTGCAAAGACTTGCAAACATGTAAGGGGAAAATTCAAATATAAAATTATATATACACACTCAGATATACAGATATATAGATATCTCCAAATGTTTATCAATATCTATATAGGATTTGCAGAGACTTGTAAACATGTGAGGGGAAAATTCATATATAAAATAATGTACACATATAGATACAGATACATGGAAATCTCTAGATATCTATATGTATATAGAATTTGCAAAGACTTGCAAACATATGAGGGGAAAATTCATATATAGAATTAATGTATATAGACAGATAGATACATATACATAGGGATTGCAAAGGCTTGCAGGGGGGAATGCCTATATATCTGTAGGAGAAATGAACAAATATTTCAGGGGAAAATTCTTTTATAAGATTAATGGATATATATGGTTTGCAAAGACTTCAGGAGAAACATGCTTATGTAGAAATATATTTATAGATCTATAGGGCTTGCAGAGGCCAGTGAACACTTCCAAGGGAACAAAAACCGCACATATACAGTTAATACATTTAGATACGCACACAAAAAGTCAGGAAATTGGACGGGTTTGAAAGGGAGCCATACAAACAAGGAGGACATGAAATGTATCTCCTTTCCCTCCTTCCCTCCCTTTCGACTGGAAAAGAAAACACATTGTTAAGGGAGATCGGAAGAGAGAGAAATATATATGGCAAGCAAAGGCCCAGCCTTGACCCGACTATAAGCTGAGGGAGAATTTTTCAACTCAAAAAAAGAGCTGAAAAACTCGGTTTATCTTCGAGTATATACGATATATTTCTTTGGAGTCCCCTTTTCTAGAGATCTTTAAACCGTGTCTGGATGACCATCTGTTGGGAGGGTTTGGATTGTGTCTTCCTACATAATAGAAAGGGAGTTGGACTGGATAGCCCTTGGGATTTTATGATTCTATCAATATTTGACAAAGACTTTTAGATCCAATGGAGAGCCTTTCTTTCTTTCTTTTCCAAGGAGAACAGCTTCGTGAACGCCTAACATAAAAATGAATCCGCAATTGAATTACTGGGCCTGTTATTAGACATAGGAGATGTCCTTGCAAATGAGTGGAAAATTCAGAATGCAATATAAATAATCTAGTTTGGTGATGCTGGCTGGCTGGCAATGTGCCAGTCATTTGGATAATGGGTTGTGTCTGCTTTTGTTCTGCTCCTTTCCATCCTTTTCACATCCTTTGTTTTGCGCTATTGGGTACCACTGGAGAGAGCATCCCTGTCATTGCTCTGTGGCTTTGCCTTTTGGTGCATAGTGTATTATCATAGCTGTAAGGAATATTTTTAGGAGTGAGGCTTGGAGGAAATGTTTTGCATCCATTTGAGCTGCTTTTACTTATTGTAGAATGCATGCAGTTTGGCACTGCTTCAACTGTGCTGGCTCAATGCTATGGAGATCTGGGAGTAGTAGTTTGGTGAGGCACCAGCACTCTTTGTCATTGACACAATGACACCTCCTATGGTTCCATAGCATTTTGAGCCAGGGCCAATAAAGCAGTGTCAAACTGCATTCATTCCACACTCAACAATTTCTTCTTCTTCTTCTTCTTCTTCTTCTTCTTCTTCTTCTTCTTCTTCTTCTTCTTCCTCCTCCTCCTCCTCCTCCTCCTCCTCCTCCTGCTCTTCTTCTTCTTCAATTTGGGTACTTGGCAATGCCCAGGTTATTTGAAAAAGGCATTGTTTGTGTTATGGGTGAATTACAGCTCACATCATGCCAGGTTAACCCCGAAAAAACTCCATCAGTACTTCAAGTTTGTTATGTTGGGCAAGTTTGCTCTAGATGCATCATCGGTGGGGTTCAGTGTGCTCTCTGGCTGCAGGGTGAACTACAACTCCTACTATGGTGAGTTAGTTCCCTCAAACCCCTCTACTAGTCATGGGGTTTCTGTGTGCCAAGTGTGGTCCAGGTCCATCATTGGTGAAGGTTGCTGTTTCTCTGGTTGTGGGTGTACTACAGCTCCCAGAAAGGATGGTCAGTTCCCCTCAAACCCCTCTATTAATCAAATGATGACATATCAGGTATATGTGACAAGTTTGGTCCAGATCCATTGGTGTTTGGGTTCACAGCGCTCTCTGAATGTAGGTGAACTTCAACTCCTCCAAATCTAGGTGAATTTTCCCTAAAGACCTCCAATATTTTTTTTTTGTCATGAGGGCTCTGTGTACCAAGTTTGGTCCAATTCCATCTTTGGTGGAGATCAGAGTGCCCCTTTATTTCAGGTGAACTATAAATCCCAGTACCTACAACTCCACAATGTCCAGACCAATTCCTCTCAAAACCCACCAGTATCCAAATGTGGGCAAATTCCACACCAATGGAGAGAGTCAGAAACACTGGGATGTCTGTGGTGGAGGAAACACATAAAATCTAAGAGGAAATTGTCCTCATATGAAAGTGTACACTTGGGTGGTAGGCAGGATGATGTTTGTGGAGGCAAGAGCTTGTCTCTGTAGGCGGATACTCCAGCACACACACACATATTTTCACTTTCATTATGTGTATAGATAGATAGATAGATAGATAGATAGATAGATAGATAGATAGATAGTCATACAAATAAACAGGGCGCATCAGTCATACAAATAAACAGGGCGCATGACTCCCCAAGTATTAGACCGCCATGTCTGTGCTCAACCAATGTTTGCTGCACTTTTAGCTTCTATTTGTCCTTAAAAAGCCATCGACAGTTGAAATAAAAATATGATTAAAATACTAATCTCTTTGCAGCAGCCTTTGCGTGCTGACTAATTTCCTCCTTCAATGTCTTTCAGTCTGCAGAATTCTTTGAAATGCTGGAAAAAATGCAGGTGAGTGGCATGTTCATCAACAGCCTCCCGATAACTTATTCCTTTGGGAACTGGTTGCAGATACAGACATGAGAAGAATCTAATATATGCTTTGTTTGGGGCTCGAGAGTGGGAGGCGGAACCGACTGCTTCCAAATATTGTGACAATCTTCTAGTTTGGAAGAAAGAAACCTAATGATAATGATTTTTTGCTGGTTGAGTGTCTCTTATCTGAAATACTCAGGAGCAGGAGTGATTTGGATTTCAAATTTCAACAGATTTCAGAATATTTCGGGAAACCTAATGATAATGGGTTTTTTTGCTGGTTGAGTGTCTCTTATCTGAAATGTTCAGGATCGGGAATGTTTTGGATTCCAGATTTTGACAGATTTCAGAATATTTCTGAAATATAGATAGGGGCTGCTCAGCCTGTTTTGCCTTCACTTGAAGCAGTGGAAGGGATGCAATATGCAACAGTCTTCGTTATTTTGCATGAATACAGTAATTGCTAGGGGCATGCTTGATTTTTCAAAGCAGGAACAAAGGCATCAATTTTTATTACTGTTATCAGTTTTACCAAGAAGAATCTATACCAGTTTTTCCACATTCTCAGGTCAACCTCAGAACCCCTATGTAGTTATCTAGACCAGTGATTCCTAACATGGACCACCAGTGGTCTGCAAGAACTAAAATTTGGTCTGTGGCTTCACCGTTACTACATGGTTGCCTCAAAATCATGTGGCAATGAGAGCAACTGGTCTTGCAAAATCCTCTTATAGTACTGACACAACGAAGGTGTCGGGAGGGGAGAAGCTGACTACCCATGAAAGATTACTACTACCGCATCAGCTCTAGATTATTAAATATGGTTTTCTCTGGGCCAGCAGATGGCAACTACTGGATGGCATATGTTCTGTATCAGAAATGGTCTATCCAATGCAAAGTAGGTTCTCCCCATGGTCAGAGGTCCCTGGTCAAAGTTGTCCCTGATCAAAGTGGTCCCTGGTTAAAGTGGTCCTTGGGGAAGTCGTCCCTGGTCAAAGTGGTCCCTGGCGAAGTGTTCCCTGATCAAAGTGGACCCTGGTCAAAGTCATCCCTGGTCAAAGTGGACCCTGGACAAAGTGGACCCTAGTCAAAGTGATCCCTGGGGAAATGGACCCTGGTCAAAATGGTCCCTGGTCTAGTGGTCCCTGATCAAAGTGGACCCTGATCAAAGTGGACCCTGGTCAAGTGGTCCCTGGTGAAGTAGTCTCTGGTCAAGTCATCCCTGGTCAAAGTGGTCCCTGGTCATAATGGACCCTGGTCAAAGGGGTTCCTGGGGAAGTGTTCCCTTGTCAAAATGGTCCCTGGTCAAGTGGGCCCTGGTCAAAGTGGTCCCTGCAGAAGTGGTCCCTGATCAAAATGGTCCCTGCAAGTAGTCCCTGGTCAAAGTGGTCCCTGGTCAAAGTGGTCCCTGGCAAAGTGGTCCCTGATCAAGTGGACCCTGATCAAAGTGGTCCCTGATCAAAGTGGACCCTAGTCAAAGTGATCCCTGGTCAAGTGGTCCCTGATCAAAGTGGTCCCTGGTCAAAGTGGTCCCTGATCAAAAAGGTCCCTGCAGAAGTGGTCCCTGGTCAAGTGGTCCCTGATCAAGGTGGTCCCTGATCAAGTGGTCCCTGGTCAAAAAAAGGTTGGGAACCACTGATCTATACTAATGGATCTGCCATTCTCTTAATGTCTACCTTTATCTGAACAATGGAAGACGATGCCACCAAATGGATGGCAGGTATTTCACCCTGCTTTGGTTTTTTATGAACTTTGGTGTTGGATTTGTAATGGACTATATATTTATATCTTGCTCAGATGTATGTCCAAAACTAATTGATCAAACCATTCATTCTCACTCCAAAAACAGGTACCCAAATCAGAAGAACAAAGAAGTGGAAGCCAGAGAAATAAGGTTTGTTTCATTTTCAAGACTCTTCTTAATGCTCCTTTTAGAATACACAAAGGAGATAAAGTGAGGTGTGTCCCTTTTTTTATTGTGCTGGAGAATAAGGATATTATCACACGAGGTTCTAAAATGGGTTTGGCACTGCAAACCAGTCTAGGTTTTTGCTAAAGCAGGCCAGGATAGTGATTCTTATCACATTCATCCATTTCTCAAGCATTTGAAAAAAGTTGCAACTGCTTTCATCTTAATACAACAAATAGGAAAGATGCTTCCAAATGTGGTGGAATCTACTATTCTGGAGGTTTCTAAGGCAACTTTTCATACTTCTTGTGCTACAATTGAACTCTTTTCTTTTTTGTGTGTTTTCCAGGATGATTACATACCGTATCCCAGCATTGATGAGGTAAGAAAATACATATTCTTCTGTTTATCTGTCTATCTATCTATCTATCTATCTATCTATCTATCTATCTATCTATCTATCTGGCATGGAATCCGTAATTTGGAATAAATTCAGAAAAATCACCTTTTTTGAAGCGATTTTGAACTTTTTTAGGAAACCGGAAGTCCCTTTGCCCTTCTGAAGCTAGTCTTGCAATTTTCTTCCGACTCAAGAACTGAGTCGAAAATGATTCTGGTCCCTGGCCTCGGCTCAAGCCAGAGAAGCCAGTTTTAAACCGGAGAAGGCTGAATTTCCTCCAAAGGAAAGTAGTTGTCTTTACTTTCAAAGTAAAGACCACCCAATGAAACAGGAAATAACACTTTCAAACCATTAACAAAAGGATTCGGAAATCTTGGAAGTTTCGAAAAGTTTTGAACATTTTTTTTCTGTGAAAATCGGAATTCACTTTAGAATCGAACCACCAGCACCCCCTATATCAGAAATGAGTTTTGAACCATTTTTTGACTCAAACAAGCCTACTATCTGTCCGTCCGTCCGTCCGTCTTCTACATATCTACAGTATCTATCTATCTATCTATCTATCTATCTATCTATCTATCTATCTATCTATCTATGGTCTACCCATCTACAGTATCTATCTATCCATCTATTTATCTATTTATGTTCTACCCACCTACAGTATGTATGTATGTATGTATGTATGTATGTATGTATGTATCTATCTATCTATCTATCTATCTATCTATCTATATCTATGTATCTATAGTCTATCTATCATCTATCTATCTCTATCTATCTATCTATCTATCTATCTATCTATCTATCTATCTAATCTATTTTGTACCCATCTACAGTATCTATCTATCTATCTATCTATCTATCTATCTATCTATCTATCTAGCTAGCTAGCTAGCTATCATCTATCTAAATATCCAAATCACCTTGAGCATCCTAAGCTTCTCTAGATTAAAAATACATAAGTAGGTGTTTATTGGTGAAATAATAAACAAAAAAGGCATTTTGGTTAGCTTAAGCTTCTTGCAAAGCTACATTTGAGCCAGGAATGTGCATATGTTAGAAAAACATGGGAGTAAATTGGATATTGACTCATCAGTCAACAATTAATGGAAGAGCCAAGTCAAGTTGGTATTTGCCAACTGATGCTAAATCTTACTTTTGTGCAAGATCTTTGAGCATATACATATATATATATATGAGAGCTGCTGAATTTGCTGATTGGAAGGTTGGTGGTTCGAATCTGGGGAGCAGGGCGAGCTCCCACTGTTAGCCCTAGCTTCTGCCAACCTAGCAGTTCAAAAACATGCAAATGTGAGTAGACAACAATAGACAATAGTGTGTGTTGTTGCTATCCTCCAAAATATTTTAAAATTATTTTCAAAAAGTTACAAACAAAACTTTTGACAAGTTACATAAAATATCCAAGAACTCCAGAGCCATATCTTATGTTTTCTTCAGATTTTGGAGAAAGGCAGCCCTTATCCTTTAATCATCCTGCCCCAGTTTGGGGGTTACTGGATCGAAGACCCCGAGAATCTGAGCACCCCCACCTCCTCCGACAGCAGCGTCTGTGAAGAAGACGAAGAGCCGCTGAGCCCCAGTACTTTTGGGTACAAACTGGAGTGCAAAGGTGAAGCCAGAGCATACCGGAAACACTTCTTGGGAAAGGTCAGTGGGAAGCAACAAGCATACTTGCTTATTCTTATATTTGTGTCTGCACTCGGACTTTTGGACAGCACCTTCTTTCTCATTGTATATACTCATTTATAGGCCACAAAATCATTTTATTTTATTTTATTTTTTGATACAGGGACTCAAAGGGACCAGCAATAAACATACCAATTAAAACAATGTAAATGCATTAGAATACAAATGCTTTAAATGTGATTTTCCTGCTTCTTGGCCCGGGGTTGGACTGGATGGCCCATGAGGTCTCTTCCAGCTCTATGATTCTATGAAATATAAATATGTATACCATATATATTTGAAGATAAGCCGAGTTTTTCAGCCCCTTTTTGGGCTAAAAAAATCCACCCTTGGCTTATAACGGGGTGAAGCCAGGCAGCGGAGCCTGGAGGCCATTACTTACAATATATGAACTATTTCTCTCGCCTCTTCTCGTCCCTAAAAAGTGTGAGTTTTTTTCCCCAAATCCTCCCTTGCTTGCTCAAGAGGGAGAGAAGCCCTTGTGAGTCAGGAATATCCATTAATCTTATAAAAGCATTTTCATGTGAAATGTTTGTTAATCTCTCCTACAGATATATAGGCATTTCGCCCTGCAAGCCTTTGCAATCCCTATGTACCTATATATCTGTACCTATCTATCTATTAATTTTATGATTTCCCCCCTCATATGTCTAGATAGATATGAAGAGAGATATATAGGGCTTGCAAATATTGCAGGAGGGAAATACACATATATAGAAGGAAGATTTACAAATATTTCAGGGGGAAATACATATGTGAAATTAGTTTATATAATTATAGATCTCTATGTAGCTCTGCATTGTTTATATAAGCATTGAATGTTTGCCTGTTAACTATGTTGGAAGCTGGTCCGAGTCCCCATGGGAAGATAGTATAATAATACAAATGTTGTTATTATTTATTTATTTAGTACATTTCTCTACCGCCCCTCTCAGTCTTCCGGCAACTCGAGGTGGTTTACAAGCAAGAATTCAATGCCACCAAGGACACAATTACAATATACAATATAAAAAACATCAGCAACAATAAAATCAAACATTATAATGAAACATACTTCAATCGATAATCATTAAAACAATGTCCAGTTCCGCCATATAGTTATTCCATTATTATATCCGTTACTCCGTGTTTTCGAATGCCCGCTCAAATAGCCATGCCTTAAGATTCTTCTGGAATGATAGGAGCGAGGATGCCGATCTAATCTCCCTAGGAAGGGCATTCCATAGCCGAAGGGCCACCACCGAGAAGGCCCTGTCTCTCGTTCCCGCCAACCGTACTTGTGATGATGGTGGGACCGAGAGCAGGGCCTCTCCAGATGATCTTAAAGTCATTATTATTATTATTATTATTATTATTATTATTATTATTATTATTTAATTGTTGATACCATATTGTTTTTGTTGACCCCATTTTCCCACTTACAGAGCTAGTTTACTGTTTTTCTTGGAAATACAGTAAATATTCAAAAACATTTAACCTACTGATGCCTCAATTCATGTAATTTTATGGGTATCTTTTTGAAATTTACTCATAGCTGCTGCATTTCCCACCTTATGCTTATACAAGTTTTTCCAGTTTTTGTGGTAAAATTAGGTGCCTTGGCTTATATTCGAGTCGGCTTATACTTGAGTATATACGGTAATTAAGACCCTCATGTTCCTGCATGGCAGGATTGGCCTGAATGGCCTTTGTGGTCTCTTGCAACCTCTATGAGTCTATCATTCAGTAAATATCAAAATATTATCATGCATTAAAACTCCATATTTACCTTGATGGTCACTTTGGTGTCAATTTATTTCAGAGAATTCTGTATTAGGAACTCAGGATGGGTGCTGAAGGAGGGATTGTGTTTGACAATAATTCTTTTGACATCAGTGGGGAAAATCCTAAGCAATGTTCTGACTTTGTCTTATCACAATGAGATTTGTTCAGAGCTGCTGTTCCCACACAAGTTGCTTATAGCGTCACGTGGTTTGGATTAAATATTGAAATGTTTAAGTGGAATGTAAACAAGTGCCTCCATTTCTTGTAAGTGATGGGAGATGGTATTTGAAGCAGAAACAAATCCTTCCGGGTGTTGAAGACCAACCGTCCCCAAAGTGGAGAAAGATCAAAGTCCTCCCTTACCTGCTGGGCTCCTTCTTTGCGTTGCTAACACCTCCCTTCTATTTTTAGGATCATTTAAATTTTTACTGCACAGCTAGCAGCCTGGGAAACTTGATTCTCTCCATTAAATGTGAAGAGGCAGACGGGATTGAATACCTAAGGATTATACTCAGGTACAGTAAGTGAAAGCAAAAGCAGGCTGAAGTCCAAAGGAAAACACTTGGCAATTGATGCCTTTCTTGTATAGTTGAGCATTTATTTCGCTATCTTCTGGAAGCACTAAAGTATCTGTGTCAAAGTCAAAATCATGGGAAACAGATAGTAGACGGACTCTCAAAGTCCAACTAGTAGACTCACTGCAGATCAAGAACTTGATAAATCAGGTGCTGTTGAGTTGGTGTAATTGCAATTAATAATGGCTAATAATTGTGGTAGTTGGAATTAATAATGGCTAATAATTGTGGTAGTTGGAATTAATAATGGCTAATAATTGTTGTAGTTGGAATTAATAATCTGGTTTAGGTCTCAGTCAGTACAGCATGACTCTTCTACTTCCATCTGCGATGAGTAGATAATAATAATAATAATAATAATAATAATAATAATAAACCTTTATTTATACTCCACTACCATCTCCCGGAGGACTCGGTGTGGCTTACAAGAGGCCGAGCCCAAATACATCAATAAAACAACACAGCAATACAGACAATAAATAACTCATAAACAAAGCAATAAACAATAACAGCAACACCACGACGCATTAAAAACCTATGGCAGGGCCAAATGTAATAATTAAAATTTTAAAATACTGGCCATGACAAGGTGACATATAACTAGGATGGGTATTTGGAGAGAAATGGAGCGAGCAGACAATCCTAGATCATTAGTAAAGTGCGATTAGGGACATGTTGCTTAGGGTTCCTTATTCTGGGAAGGCACACTGGAACAACCACGTTTTCAGGCTCCTCTTAAAGACTGCCAGAGTTGGGGCATGCCTAATGTCCTTGGGGAGCGAGTTCCAGAGTCGAGGGGCCACCACCGAGAAGGCCCTATCCCTTGTCCCCACCAATCGCGCTTGCGATGGAGGTGGGATCGTGAGCAGGGCCTCTCCAGATGAACGAAGAGATCGTGTGGGTTCGTACACAGAGATGCGGTCACGCAGGTAGGCGGGTCCCAAACCGTTTAGGGCTTTGTAGGTAAGCACCTGCACCTTGAATTGGGACCGGAAAATGAACGGCAGCCAATGGAGCTCCTTAAACAGGAGGGTTGACCTCTCCCTGACTCCTAAGATTTAAGGAGTCAGCACAGAATACAGCAGAGTCTCGCTTATCCGACATAAACGGACCAGCAGAATGTCGGATAAATGAAAATGTCAGAAAATACGGAGTCTCCTACTGCTACCTGTCTGACGCGGTGCTAGACACCTAGAATACTAACAATCGGGACTCAAAGGGTTTAAGGCAAGGCAACACCTCAGGGCTAGAGCGGCCCAGCACGAAGTGCCCGGATGCGGAAGAGGAGTGTGGAAATCACAGAGGGAAGGAGGGAGGACGCTTCTGCTTCCGGTCCTGCCTCTTTTCTCCCTTTCCTCGCTCCTCCTCTTACTTGTTTTGCCTTTTTCACTTATTGATAATGGAGAGAGAGTTGGGGAGCACTCCTTTAATTGAAGGGGAAATGCTGGGGGAAAGTGGGGCATCGAATAAGATGGAATGTCGGATAAGCAAAGGTCGGATAAGCGAGACTTTACTTTACCTGAAACATCTTCCTTTAGAGCAGTGTTTCTCAGCCTTCCTAATGCCGTGACCCTTTAATACAGTTCCTCATGTTGTGGTGACCCCCCAACCATAACATTATTGTTGTTGCTACTTCATAACTGTAATTTTGCTACTGTTATACATTGTAATGTAAATATCTGATATGCAGGATACCCAATACGACCAAATTTGAATACTGATGTCGTTTTGGGGTGGGTGGGTTTGATTTTGTCATTTGGGGGCTCCAGCGACACAAGTGAGTAAGGGGCTCAGAGGAAGTTTCCCTGGTGGCCATGGATAGTGCAGAGGAAGTTATTTATTTATTGTTATGTATTATTTATTTCCAGCAGTTCTACCCCATTCCTTCTCAACCCCCAAAGGGGACTCAGGACGGCTTACATTTGGCAACAATTTGATGCCACAACATATAACAAAGCAATATAACAACAATTAAAACAAGAAATAAAACATTAATTGAAACAATAAAAACAGTATTAACAGCCGTATCACCATTCCAGTCAAATTCCAAAAGTTCCACACTTGTGGCTGTAGGAAGGACACCAAGGTCTCCATGCAGGGGCGGCTCAACCATTACTCAAAGTAAGCATTTGCAGTATAGTTGATTTTGCCCAGGGGCGCTCTTGAGGCAGTCTTGGGGGAAAATAGACCTTGACATATGCGAGTTGTAGTTACTGGGATGTATAGTTCACCTACAATCAAAGAGCATTCTGAACTCCACCAATGATGGAATTGAACCAAATATGGCACACACAACTCCCATGACGAACAGAAAATATATATCAGTGATTGGTTGGGGGGGGGGGGCAAAATACTGTTTGCTTACCATTGAAAATTACCTAGGGCCGCCTCTGTCTCCATGGTCCTGGGCATATAGCTTGAAGAAGTCCAGACTATTTTAATTTTGGCCCCTTACTACTGCTGGTGTAGCTGTTTCCATCTGCTACGCCTTTATTCTATCTCTCTCACCAGTATCAGCTTCAACTGCAGACAAACACATAGGTGCATAGTACATCGATGAGCAGCAATGGCGGGACACGTTCTTTCCATGCAAATCATCCCATATGTTGCCTGATAGTCAAAGTCACATTTACCACTAAATAGCATTGCCCAAATATTTTGGAGGAAGGTGTTCATAGGTCCTCAAGGATCTGATGCATGAAAGGGGACAAGTGTTGAAATTGCTTAATGCACTTTATGATAGAGTGGGGGGGGGGGGGGGTCTTGTTGTCATTTTTTGCATTTGGTAGAGGTGGTTTCCAAGTCTGGACTTCTATGATTACTTTGTTAGTGCATTTTACTTACTTGATCTACTGCCAAAAAAACAGGAAGGGGGAAAAATCACTGCAAGAGTCTTGAAAAAATATCAGTTGTATTTATCAACAACAGCCACGAGTGCTTGACTAAGTCTTTTATTCTCTCAGCAAGCCATTAATTCTTTAAAGTGAGCAAGATTGGTAGGCTATAGCTATGAAAATCATTGCCAAGTCTTCCTCAAAAGGTCTAATTTTCGAATGTAGAAACAGCTTTCTGTAGGAAGCATTATGGTATATTTTGAAATATACCGTAATGTTTATGTCTTATTGTTTGATTTCATGTGGCTTATTTCCTTCCTTCCTTCTTTCTTCTGTGTAGATCCAAAGTGAAAACCTTACATGAAAGAATCCCCTTAGCCGGCCTTAGTAAACTACCGAGTATTCCACAGATTGCAAAGGTCAGTTGCTTTGAAATACAGCCTATCGCATTATGAACCAGCCTGAGGACATTATCACGCGAGGCTCTAAAATGGATGATGGCTCTGACTCCTGTCTTTTCTTCTTTCATTTTGTCTCATTTCACAACAGGCCTTCTGTGATGATGCAACTGGGCTGAAGTTTAATCCTGTGCTTTATCCCAAGGTGAGTTAACAACATGTCACAACACAGTGTTACCAACACTGAACTGAGACTTGGGAGATTATCACACGAGAATCAGAGGATGGAAGGAGTGATGGATAGCCACTAGGCATGTGCAAAAAATTCAGAAGTGTCTGAAATCATAAGAAAAGTTTTGTAAGGTGCAAACCATATCTGAAGCATTTGTATGGCTCACATCAAATATTTTAGAATTGAAACTTACCACATATTTCTTCATTTTAGTAATCAGAAGGTTCCCAAAGTCAGTGAAAGGAAGCAAAGCCATAAGCCAGTGGTTCTCACCTTCCAAATGCCACTACGCCTTAATACAATTCCTCATGTTGTGGTGACCCCCCCAACCATAAATGTATTTTTGTTGCTACTTCATAACTGTAATTTTGCTACTGTTAGGAATCGTCATATAAATATCTGATACGCAGGATGTATTTTCATTCACTGGACCAAATATGGCACAATATCCGATATGCCCAAATTTGAATACTGGTGATGTTGAGGGTGGAAATTACAAATGGATCACTATCATTATTGTTTTCTTTTATAATGGTTATGGAGGAGGGGCTTGGCTTGGGAGAAGTCATGAAGGAATCTGTATTAGGGTCTGATTGAAGTTCCAGATCAATGTAAGCAGCTTCTGGCTGGCAATTTCTGTCTTGGATCTGTGTTATCTGCGTTGGATTTCTTTTTTGACCTTGTGTATCTGATGTGTTTTGAGGAATTAGGTGATAGACCAGTGGTTCTCAACCTGTGGATCCCCAGGTGTTTTGGCCTACAACTCCCAGAAATCCCAGCCAGTTTACGTGTTGTTAGGACTTCTGGGCGTTGAAGGCCAAAACATCTGGGGACCCACAGGTTGAGAATCACAGTTGTAGACTGTCAAGGCCTTAAATACCCTTCTGGTAGTTATACTATGCCTGTTCCATAATACTGGTGATGTTGGGGGTGGGTTAATTTTGTCATTTGGGAGTTGTAGTTGCTGGGATTTATAGTTCACCTACAATCAAAGGGTGCTTTCCTCCTGCCTTGAAGGGATGCAAGCCTCAATCCAGCCTTGCACGCTCTCCCTCACCTGCACATGTACACCACACGGCCATTAGCTGAGCATGCCTGCTCTCCCCTCCCCTCCCTGCTTGGAGTATCAGAAACAGCTTTCCCCTTGGTTGAGAGGCCAGCCAATCACAGCAACAGGAGGGCTTTTGGTGGGAGGATTCACCGTCTGTTTCCAAAAAGGAAGAGAAGGACATCTTCAACCCTCTCTGCTAACAGGGTTCCTAAGACCATCAGAAATATGTGTTTTCTGAAGGTGTTTGGTGACCCCTATGAAACCCCCTCACGACCCCCAGATTGAGAAACGCTGCATTAAGCCAAAAAGGCTGCCAGCCTGCCTGCCTGCCCGGAATTAATTGACTTTCGGCATTTGAAGCCATGAAAAGAGGGAGCAGTGCATCTTGGGAACAGCATAGAACTCTGAGAAACATAGTTTGGGAAAGGGAGGAGCCCTATGCCAAAGAATTCAAAAGGCTCTGGCCTAAACTACATTTCTCAGTATGCATCAGCATCAGAAAGTCCCAATTAGGAGAGGGGTCAGTCTGAAGGAGCTGGGGGTGGCCACAGCCAACAGGGAGCTCTGGCGTGGGCTGGTCCATGAGGTCACGAAGAAACTGAACGAATAAACAACCACATCATCAGCTTGTAGCCAGCCAGAGTTCCAATACATTTGTTAATATGCTACACTGTGGTTTCTTTTCCTGCGTTATAAATGGCAGTTCCTAATTGGTTCTGTCATAAAAACATGGCGAAAGTTTATTACACTGGAAAAACTTTGTCTTTGCCAAGGGACATCGCCCTTTGTTGAGTCACCACAAATTTAACAAAGTTTCTGTTACAAAAAAAACAAAGTTTCTGGAGTAGAACAGCTACTTTCAAAGTAATGACTACATAATTAAACAAGAATTAACACTTTCAAAGGAGGAACAGATTTTCCGTAGTGTTAAAAAGTGTTGCAAACTTTGAAAATTCTCCAAAAATCCGCGGATAAGTGAAACATTCTGAAATTTGGTGGGCTAACAGTGGTAAATGTATTCTACCACTGTAGCAAGTTTCACCCCAATAGCTTTAAAAATGAGGGAGAAAGCAGTTTCCCCAGTGATAGTAATTTAATTATGTGCAATTACTGTAATGAAATAGTAACAAAATTTCTTTCGTCTCGTTATAGTAATGAAATTTTCACTAAGCATACTTTAGAAACACTTTAGAATCGAAGCACCAGCGCCCACCGTTTTGTAATGACTTTTGAACCATTTCTAAATAGATCGCACATCCTTAATAGCCACTCTCCTTGGCACAATCCCATTTTCTTAAAGCATTTTAACACATAACACATCACCGCAAGGCAAAGCTTTCCAATCTGTGCATTCCCTCTTTGTTCTCCTTTTTAATATTTTCTCCTGCGTTGTCATCCAGTGTGTGAACTACTGCATCATACTGGTTCCCAACACTTCTCTTTTCCTTCATTCTAAGGATACACAATCCACAAATATGATGTTATTATAGAGTCATTATTACAGCTGTGAAAACATGCAAGAGCCAACAAGATCTCCTTAATTCTATGTTTCTCTATAGTTGAAATAGAAGTGCTTGGTTCCTGTTTACATAATTCCCTTTGATATATTTCTCCAATTTTGCAACGTCCTTCTAGAAACGCCGAGTGGCACTTAGGTTACGTCCACCGGGCGCTTGGATAAACTATGCAATTATAGACAAGTATGCTTGTTTTTCATGTTCTACCAAACTGAGTTTTGATCTCAATTTGAAAAGAGGAAAGAGAGAGTAAAAAAAGAATTGGGTGTAGTGAGGGAGGGGGAGAGAGAAAGGGAATGAAAGAGGTGCCGAAGCAAATAAAATGATCTCCACAGGAGAGGAACAGTTTGAGAAAAGGGCATCAAGGACATCGTGATGCAGAAATAAAACTGAAAGGCCAATGCCTTTCGGATTCTTTTTGAGTGAGTAAAAGAGGCTGTTTACATCAGTAAAATATAGTGAGAGGTATGGATTGGCCACTTTGGACAAATGGACTTGCTAGAGGTGGATATTGGAGAAATAGCCTTGGGCTGCAACTGCTTTTCATTTTTTAAGAGCTGTGGTGGTGCAATGGTTTAAATCTTGTGCTGGCTGAACTGCTGACCTGAAGGTCAGTGGTTTGAATCCACACAATGAGGTGAGCTCCCATCTGTCAGCTCCAGCTCCCCATGTGGGGATATGAAAGAAGCCTCACATAGGATGGTAAAACATGTGGGCGTACCTTGTAGACTGCCAATTTTTCACACCAGAAGTGACTTGCAGTTTCTCAAGTCACTTCTGACACGAAAAAATTCTTTAAAGTCTCTAACCCAAGAAGCAGCCACACTACAAAATTATAGTACATCAGGCCCGTATCAGGATTTTGTTTCGGGGGGGGGGGCTGAATTTTTTTCAGAGGGGGGTTCAGAGGGGGCTGAGTTTCGGGGGGGGGGCTGAGTCTGAGTGAAAGAGGGTCTAGCCTAGCAAATCTTTTGTATCATTACCCCAATACCTCCATGCACATGGGATATATTGAGTATGGTGATCAGATCATGATATGAATAAACATAACAGTTTAAATAATTCACCTGTAAGGCCTTTTCGCGAACCACCATGAGAATTTGGGGGGGGGGGCTGAAGCCCCTCAAGCCCCCCCCCCCCCGGCTACATACCTGCCCCACATTAACTACCATGGATAATGCAATTGTTGCATCCCAGCCAGACTTCACCTTGCCGTTAGCACCAACCAGAAATCCAAAAGCAGTAGTAAAACAGTTTATTGAAGAGAGTACATATAAAAAGGGAAAAATCACCAAAAGGAATAAGAAAGGCAAAATCCAACAGGTAAACAGAAAAGGTAGTCAATAAACAAAACCCAACCAAGTTGGTGAGGAGTAAAACACTTCAAAGGCAATAATCCAAATAATCCAAATGGTACAGGAAATCAAGAATGAGCATAATCCAAGGAAACAAGAATCAAAACATGAACATGACTCCAGAAGAACCAAGGCTATAAGAACTTCTTAAAACATGGATCAAAACTCCCAGGAATTTAGACTAAAAACATGAACTGGAAACAGGACTTGATATCCTTACTGTTACGCAGTGTTGCCTGATCTGAATTCTCAATGTGATGCTCTTTAATTTAAGAGCTGCAAAATATGAAGGCATTTCTTTGATGCTGATTTTCTGGCTGGGCCTTTCTCCTGCAAGACTTGCAATCTGCAGTGGAGCACCTTCCTATGAAATTGATAATACTTTCCTCATTCCATTGGGGGCTGAAATCCTTCCCTTCTCTTTCTGTTCCAGGCATCACAAATGATTGTATCCTATGATGAGCATGAAGTCAACAATACATTCAAGTTTGGTGTGATTTATCAGAAGTTTAGACAGGTGAGTAACAATGCTGTTATATCTGTGACAATTTTGTACAGGGAATAAAATAGCGATAAATAAAGGATGATAGTGATTCTTCTATTTGTTAAACAGCCCAGTGTGATTCTGAACTTGAAATATTTTTCTCTGTGAACGTAGGGGCAAAAAACGGGGAGGTACCATACATACTTGTGTATAAGTCTACCTCTGAAGTGGAGCCACAGTGGTACAGTGGATTAAACCCTTGTGCCAGCCGAACTGCTGACCTGAAGACCTGAAATTTAGTGGTTTAAATCTGTGAGACAGGGTGAGGTCCTATCTGTCAGCTCCAGCTTCCCATGCGGGGACTGAAAGAAGCCTCCCACAGGCTGGGGCCACGGTGGTGCAATGGGTTAAACCATTGAGCTGCTGAACTTGCTGACTGGAAGATTGGCAGTTCGAATCTATGGGATGGGGTGAGCTCCTGCAAAAAACCCCAGCTTCTGCCAACCTAACATTTTGACATGCAATTGTGATTAGATCAATAGGATGGGAAGGTAAACAGTACTTCATGCTGTCATGCTGGCCACATGACCTAGGAGGCGTTTACACACAACACAGGCTCTTTGGCTTACAGATGGAGATGAGCACCATCCCGCAGAGCCGGAAGAGAAAGCCTTCGCCTTCATCTATGTTTCGTTGTTTCTAGGCATTGAGTGTTTGACTTTGTGCTTGTATATGCTGGAATCCGCCCTGAGTCCCCTCAGGGAGATAGGGCAAAATACACATAAAGTATCATCATCATCATCATCATAATTTCTTTAAATTTGCAGACCCAGGAAGAAGAGCTGTTTGGCAACAACGAGGAAAGTCCGGCATTCAAAAATTTCTTGAGTTTATTGGGAGACACTGTCACGCTCCAGGATTTCCGAGGGTAAATCCAAAAAACAATTTCTTATATGATTTATTTCTTATATGGTGGTCATATTTACTCCAAGTGACTTAAATATTATTTATTTATTTACTGTATTTGTAAACCGCCTTTCTCAGCCCACAGGCAACTCAAGGCCCATGATACCCATGATATATGCCCTCTATATTCATATATAAGCCAACTCGAATATAAACCGAGGCACCTAATTTTACCACAAAAACTGGGAAAACATATTGACTCGAGTATAAGCCGAGGGTGGGCAATGCAGCAGCTACTGGTACATTTCCAAATAAAAATAGAAACCAATAAAATTACATTAATTTAGTAGATTTTTGAATATTTACATAAAACTGTAATTTAAGATAAGGCTGTCGAACGCTGATTAAACCATTATTCCAATCCTCTTCAATGTAAATGTGCTTATGTATCCTTCAATAATAATAGAGTAAAATAATATATGTAATAATAACAATAATGATAGAGTAACATAATGGAAATGTAATAATAATAATAATAATAATAATAATAATAATAATAGAGTAAAATAATAAATATAATAATAATAACTAATAAAGTAAAATAATAAATTTAATAATAATAAATAGAGTAAAATAATAAATGTAATCTATATAAATAAAAATGTAATGTTTGTTTGTGGGATTAACATAACTCAAAAACCACTGGACGAATTGATGCCAAATTTGGACACAATATACCTATCAGGCCAACGAATGACCATCACTCATAAAAACACTGAAAAACACAGAAGGGAATTAAAAAGCCAAAAAACAAAAAATACAACTCATGTGCAAAACCACATATATATACATAAACACACATATATACACATATACACAAATATATACACACACATATACAAACATACACACACAAAACACATGTACACAGACTGGGCCACAGCAACGCATGGCAGGAAACGGCTAGTAAAATAAAAATAGAGTAAAATAATATAAATGTAATAAAAATAATAATAAATAGAATAAAATAATAAATTAATAATAAAATAATAAATGTAATAAAAATAATAGAATAAAATAATAAATGTAATAATAAGAATGATAGAGTAATATACTAAATAACTTTGACTCACATATAAGCCAAGGGGGGCTTTTCCAGTCTGAAAAACTTCTCATATACTTGAGTATATAAGGCAATACAAAAAGAAAAATGCAAACAAAATTTGAGATGAGAAGTAAAAAGGGAAGACTTAGGGTCCATCTACATGGTATATTTAATGCAGTTTGACACCATTTTCACTGTCACAGCTCAATGGTATGGAATCCTTGGAGTTGTAGTTTGGTCAGGCACCAACACTCTTGGACAGAGAAGGCTGAAGATCTAGTAAAACTAGAACTCCTGGAAGCCCAGTTGAGATATATGGGATGTCATTGTGTGGGTCTACAGATCTCCAAAGCCAGGCAAAGGATCTAGATGATGTGATCATAATAGGAAATTTTGGAAACCCATACATTTCAATGGATGACTATTTTGCGGTGGGAATTCCCTCCTCTCATTTGTCCCTAAACAACCGAGATAGGATTACATTAACAACTAGGAAAGCGTTATCATGATACGCTGAGTCAAGGGCCCACTTTGTTCTCGTCTTGTTCCAGCTTCCGAGGCGGCCTGGATGTCACCCATGGCCAGACAGGCACGGAGTCTGTGTACACGGTGTTCAGGGACAGAGAGATTATGTTCCATGTCTCCACCAAGCTCCCATTCACCGAGGGAGACGCACAGCAGGTAACCGAAAGCTGACCTTGCCTTGCAAATAGAATATTGATTGGGACAAAGAACTCCCGGGCAGAACAGATGGGGCCTTTTCCCTGGGTGAAATGGACATCATGTGTCAGTGGTGACAGGATAGGTGTGAATTGCTTCCCAGTGGGGTGCCCAGGCTGTGATTTCACGGACTCCATCACAAGGTTCTCAACCCTACTGTTATGGCTGTGTCAGAGCAACAGACAATAGTACGGATGCTCACATAGGGATGCTTTCGGAATCCATTCTCTTGGAATATCTCTCCCAAAGTCGCAAGTTAGGTGAATTGAACTGCCGTATTAGAAATTCCCACAAGATCTTGTTCCCCAATGGCAACATAAAAGAACTCAAATAGTATGAAATACATTACCAATCTATATCTATATAAGTCCATAGAAGTCTGCCTGTCCGTACAACAAAGGCTATTGATAGGTGAAGTGGCCTTCTCTGGTGTCACTGGACAGACTGTTACTAGGCGAAGTGGCCCTCTTTGATGCACTGTATAAACTGTGACCTTCTGTGATGTCACAGGACAGGCTATTGCTAGGTGAAGTGGCCCTCTTTGAGGCACTGGACAGATTGTTGCTAGGTGAAGTGGCCTTCTGTGATGTCTGTGTTGCTAGGTGAAGTGGCCCTCTTTGATGCATGGAACAGACTGTTGCTAGGTGAAGTGGCCTTCTGAGATGTCACTGGAAAGACTTTTACTAGATGAAGTGGCCCTCTTTGATGCACTGAACAGACTGTTGCTAGGTGAAGTGGCCTTCTGTGAAAAGAAAGTTGACATGTGTATGAGGGGAAGAGAGGGAGGAAGGAAAGAGCCGCAAAGAAATTCATTGAGACAGTGTGAGGTAGGCCTTTTCAGAGCTGGAGAAAGGAGGAAAGGAAAAAAGAAAGAAAGAAAGAAAGAAAGAAAGAGAAAAAGAAGGGAAGGAAGGGAGAAGAAAGGAAAAGGAGGGAAGGAAAAAGAAAGAAGGGATGAAAGCTGGAGTTTCTGGGCCACACCAGGTATATAAACTAGTATTTTAATAAAGTGAGATGGGAAACGGCAAATATTTCTAAGTATCTTAGCAACTGAAGAGTGTTCAGCTAATGAGAACTTGCGGGAGAACGCCATGAACCATACACTCTGAAAAACCATGAAGGATGTTGTTGTTGTTGTTCATTCGTTCAGTCGTCTCCGACTCTTCGTGACCTCATGGACCAGCCTACGCCAGAGCTCCCTGTCGGCCGTTACCACCCCCAGCTCCCTCAAGGTCAGTCCAGTCACTTCAAGGATGCCATCCATCCATCTTGCCCTTGGTCGGCCCCTCTTCCTTTTGCCTTCCACTTTCCCCAGCATAATTGTCTTCTCTAGGCTTTCCTGTCTCCTCATGATGTGGCCAAAGTACTTCAACTTTGTCTCTAGTATCTTTCCCTCCAGTGAGCAGTCGGGCTTTATTTCCTGGAGGATGGACTGGTTGGATCTTCTCGCAGTCCAAGGCACTCTCAGCACTTTCCATGAAGGATACTGAACTACAAATGATGTTCATCCCTTCTATTGATACCTTTCTTTTTTCAATCGTTTCAGCTTCAGAGGAAGAGGCACATTGGCAACGACATTGTGGCCATTATATTCCAGGAGGAAAACACTCCCTTTGTTCCTGACATGATTGCCTCCAATTTTCTCCACGCCTACATTGTTGTCCAGGTTGAAAACCCCGAAATGGACAATGCGTCCTACAAAGTAAGAAGATGATAGGATGCGTGTGCCTCTCTCTGTGTGGCCATATGCGAGTTGGTGTGCGCACCTGTTTTAGATCTGACCCATGGCTGGTTCAAGGATGAAGAAAAATGTAGACAAAGACCTGCTGCAAAGCCTTTCAAAAAATTATTTATTTCACCCATCAGGCAGCTGAGGCTCTAATGTAATTACATTGAGCAATAAACAAAGAAAACATATTTGGACACTTTTCCTGTTTCTAGCACACTATGGCCAAAACTAATATGAGATTATTAGCTTCTTAATGCCCTTGAGAAATGCACGTGTCCATTTATTTATTACTAGCTTGAGTACCCGGCGTTGCCTGGGTTATTTGAAAAAGTCAGTTTTTTCATTGTGCAAAATGCATAAGGTTATGGGTGAACTACAACTCCCACTATGCCAGGTAAACCCCGAAAAACTCCATCAGTCCTTAAATTTTGTTATGTTGGCAAGTTTGCGCTAGATGTGTCCTTGGTGGAGTTGAGTGTGCTCTCTGGCTGCAGGGTAAACTACAACTCCCACTAGGATGGGTCAGTCCCCTCAAACCCCTCCAATACGTTGAGTTAGCCATGGGGATGTCTGTGGTGAAGCATGTTTTGTTGGTCATGGGGGCTCTGTGTGCCAAGTTAGGAACATCTAGATAGCCAGGCAGCCCATCCTAGTTAGATGCTCTATGTATGTCTTCTTATGGATTTGTTTTATGGACATGTCAGTGCTCACTCTGCCTTCTGTTGACATTTCCGACAGGTAGCTGTCACTGCACGAGAAGATGTCCCTTCCTTTGGCCCTTCACTGCCAAACCCACCTGTATTTCAAAAAGTAAGGCATGAAAGAGAAAAACCATGTCATAGATAGGTTGGCTCTGTCATAGAAGCCACCTTCTGAGCTCCATTTGAGAGCAGAATCTTTATGTAGTGGACTGTGGTTTGTCAGCTTTACTCCCAAGCCGTCTTCTCTTCCCTTCCCAGAATTCAGAATTCCGAGAGTTTCTTCTCACCAAGCTGATCAATGCGGAAAACGCCTGCTGCAAGTCAGACAAATTTGCGAAGCTTGAGGTAAGATAGGAGCAGTGTCAAGGGGGAAATGGCATCTTGGCAGTGAAGCAAGTGGAGTGTGTGTGTGTGTGTGTGTGTGTGTGTGTGTGTGTGTATATATGGAATGTTCAGGGTGGGAGAAAAAAAAACCTTGTCTGTTAAGGTAAGTGTGAATGTTGCAATTAGCAAGCTTGAATAGCATTGAGTAGCCATGAAGTTGCTAAGTCAATCAGTGAGGGTATCTGCATAGAGATAGCCTTGCCTCTGTTGCTTGGAGGCACCCTCTCTTTGGGAGGTGTTTATTTATTTATAATGTGAGAAGCAAATCGAGGATACAGTTGTAATCTTATATAAATAAAAATGTAATGTTCATTTGTGGGGTTAACATAACTCAAAACCTACTGGATTGACACCAAATTTGGACACAATACACTTATCAGACCAATGAGTGACCATCACTCATAAAAACACTGAAAAACACAACAGAAAAGACTTTAAAAGCCAAAAAATGAAAAATACAACACATGCACAAAACCACATATTTACACAAACACACAGGAGATCGTGGTGGGGTATAAATRAAGTTTTACTATTATTTTATTATATTACACACACACATATATATATAAACACAAAACATATATACACAGACTGGGCCACAGCAACGCGTGGCAGGGGACAGCTAGYATATAAATAAAGATGTAATGTTCGTTTGTGGGATTAACRTAACTCAAAAACCACTGGACGAATTGACACCAGATTTGGACACAAGACACCTAACAASCCAATGAGTGACCAACACTCATAAAAACACAGAAAAACACTGCAGAAAAAAACTTTAAAATCCCCAAAATAAAAAATACATTACAACGCATGCACAAAACCACATATATACGCAAACACACATATATACACATATACACAAATACACACACACACACATATATATACATACATACATATACACACACACAAAACACATATACACAGACTGGACCACAGCAACGCATGGCAAGGGATGGCTAGTGTATCTAAAACCACAAACAAAGTTATAAAACTTAGCATCATACAAAATGTCCTTTGACCAGAAGCTGGCCACTTGAAGTGCCTCTGGTGTTGCTATAAAAAGGTCCTTCATTGTGCATGTGGTAGGGCTCAGGCTTCATTGTAATAGGCGGTCTGCAGTTTGCTCTTGTATGTTGTGGACTCCACTTTGTAGCCCCATTTCTAAAGGTTGGCTCTGCATCTTGTGTTGCCAAAGCGCAGTCTGTTCAGCACCTTCCAAGTAGCCCAGTCTTCTGTGTGCTCAGGAGGGAGTTTCTCATCTGATATCAGCCACTGATTAACGTTTCAGGTTTTAGTCTGCCACTTTTGGACTCTTGCTTGCTGAGGTGTTCATGCAAGTATCTCCGTAGATCTTAGAAAGCTATTTCTTGATTTAATCCATTGGCTTGCTGGACAGAGGATGGGTGGAGATGTCACTGCCTTGGTCCTTTCATTACTGGATGTTACTTCCTGGCAGATATCAGGAGTTGCAATACCGGCTAAGCAGTATAATTTCTGCAGTGGTGTTGGGCGTAGATATCCTGTGATAATGTGGCATGTCTCATTAAGAGCCACATCTACTGTTTTAGCGTGGTGAGATGTGTTCCACACTGGGCATGCGTATTCAGCAGCAGAGTAGCAAAGCGCAAAGGCAGATGTCTTCACTGTGTCTGGTTGTGATCCCCAGGTTGTGACAGTCAGCTTTCATATGATATTGTTTCTTTTTTTTAAATACTTTTTTTATTAAATGCATTTTAACTTTAGTTTACATTAAAAATGAGGTAAAGGTATGGGGTAAGGTTAGGTATGATATTGTTTCTAGCACCCACCTTTTGCTTGATAGTCAAGCGGTGCTTCTTCATTGTGCATGTGTCAGGGCTCAAGCTGCATTGTATAGGTGGTCTACAGTTTGCTTTTCTCCACATTGTATGTCGTAGACTCCATTTTGTAGCCCCATTTCTGAAGGTTGGCTCTGCATATCATGGTGCCAGAGTGCAGGTCTGGGTAACTCCCAGGTATTTGGCTGTGTTGCAATGCTCCAGTGGGATTCCTTCCCAGGTCATCCTCAGAACTCAAAGTGCTTGTCTGTTCTTAAGGTGAAAAGCACATATCTGCATGTTAGATGGATTAGGAATCAGCTGGTTTTAATAGGCAGTAAGAGCACCTAGAGCTTAGGAGAGCTTCTGTTCAACCATTTCAAAGCTCCCTGCTTGGGCGGTGATGGCATGATCGTCAGCATAGATGAAACTCTCTGTCCCTTTTGGCAGTGGTTGGTCATTTGTGTAAATGTTAAACATTGATGGAGGATCATTCCACTTGCTTCACTGTCAACAGAACTTCTTGAAGATGCCATTAGCCACAGATGCAGTTGAAATGTCAGGAGAGAATGCTACTCAAACATGGCGATACAGTCCTAAATACTCACAGCAACTCTATTCAAGTACTACCAGGATCGGACACTGAATTCATCACAGAATTAAAACTGAATTTATTACAGAATGTCAATGCACCCCTTGTCTTATTTATTTGTATGCTTGTTTCATAATGTTTGTTTAGGATCGAACGCGGGCGGCTCTCTTGGACAACCTCCACGATGAACTCCATGTCCACACGCAACTGATGCTAGGCTTGGGATTCGAGGAGGACAAGCTGGAAAACGGAGGCCACGGCGGATTCTTGGAATCATTTAAGGTAAAGACCTTTTCGTAGAAATTCACAAGCACTAAAGTTTAGTCCGGTTGCAGAAGGCAGAGTCTCAAAACGTAGTCTCAAATGTTGTAGCGCTCTTGACGGAATCATATGACAATACTTCCTTGTGTTCTTGCTTAATTGTAGCTGCCGCCCATGTACATTATATCTTCATAAAGTTTAGTAGGGCCTACCAAGAAAACGAAATATAACATCAGTAAAGTAGTAAAATGAAAACCAAACAAAATATTCTGAGATAATGTTATTGTGCCATTTACTCCTGAGAGATGTATTTTATGCCATTCATTTTGTACTAATTAATGCTGAATGTAGTATTCAGAATACTGCATGCTAACTTTACGAAATTTCCCTGTTCACGGAAAGTGTCGGGAGGTAAAGAGTCAGCCCTTTGTAAATCCTTCCACTTCATCACATTTACTAAATTCCACTGAGTGCTACACTTAAAATGTGGTAAGCCACAGTGTTCATCACATTAGGTTGGGTTCAAATGTAGGCTAGAGCATTCTTTGTGTATTTTAAGTGTGGGGCCAGCTTTCTTTTCAAACGTTTCAGGAGGTGGTGGGGAAGTGGATTTTTAGTAATGATCCGGATGTTTAGCCAAATCTGTAATGTGATGGCATTCGTTGCTCTCGGGTTTAAAATGAAATGTTTCCCCAATTTGTGGGAGGGGAAATTGTGGGAGGAGCCAAGCCAATCTCTGGTGGTGTTGGATGTAGATATCCTGTGATAATGCGGCATGTCTCACTAAGTTTCTGAACTGGAGAATAAAAGCAGTTGGGACCCATAAATGCTATTATTATTATTATTATTATTATTATTATTATTATTAAACACAAGATGAGTCCACAGCAGACACTCTGCTGGCTGTTGAATTGGATCACACGTTGTACACTTCCCAAGTGTCTAGGACTGTGTGATGTATCAGGGAATAATGCAGATCCCAGTAAGGTGGCCTTCTGCAGCTGGCAGATGGGAATTTTGTCAGTGCTGATTGTGTTTATGTGCAGGCCAAGGTCTTTAGGCACTGCATCCAGTGTGCTGATCACCACTGGGACCACCACCAATAATAATAATAATAATAATAATAATAATAATAATAATAATAATAATAATTTGAAACACAACAAGATGAGTCCAGAGCAGACAAGATCACTTTGCTGGCTTTTGTATTAGATCACATGTTGAACACTTCCCAAGTGTCTAGGACTGAGTGATGTATCGGGGAATAATGCAAATCCCAGTAAAGTGGCCTTTTGCAGCTGGCAGATGGGAATTTTGCCAGCGCTGATTGTGTTTAAGTGCAGACCAAGGTCTTTAGGCACTGCATCCAGTGTGCCGATCACCACTGGGACCGCCTTGACTGGCTTGTGTCAAAGTCTTTGCAGTTCGATCTTTAAATCCTCATATCATGTCAGATTTTCCAGATTATTATTATTATTATTATTATTATTATTATTATTATTATTATTATTATGATGCCATGTCCCCATGCTGTGCAGTCCTGGGAGTCATAGTGCACCCTTCTCTTGGTGCATTTACAGTGTGGAATGAATGCCCTTGCATCCCATTTTAAATGCCATGGCTCCATGTGAGGGAGTCGTCCTGAGAGTTATAGTTTCCCAAGGTCCATACCCTTCTCTTGGTGCATCTATACTATGTAATTAATGCAAGTGGACCTTACTTTAAATGCCATGTCTCCATGAGATGGTCTTGGAAATTGCAGTTTCCCAAGATCAATGAACCTTCTCTAGGTGTGTCTAGACTGTGAAATGAATGCAGCTGGATGTTACTTTAAATACCATAACTCCATACTGTGCAGTCCTGGGAGCTATAGTTTTCCAAGGTCCACACCTTTCTCTGTGGGGCAGGAAACAAAAGGAGGGAGTGGATCACTTCTTTCTTTCCCTCCCTGCTTACTTGCTTCAAGAATCGACAACACATAACAGCCGACATTTCAAAGAAAGGAGTTTTTTCGCCCACAAAAAACATGGGGAGGGATGGTGGGCAGGCCCAAATCTTTAGACTGTGATGGGAAATAAACTCAAAGAATGCTGAGTACTACCGAGTAGCATTGATCGATTTAACAATGTGATGAAGATAGGGTAATCATCCATTTCATTTCAAACACTCTGCCAAACACTTCTCTGTTTCCGTGTGATGAAGTCGCTAGTGATCTAAGTTGAATTCACTTTGGTGTCAGTGCACACAATTACATGATCATTCAATTTCAAGTCTTGGCTATTTATTTATCTTCAAAACACATTCATACAATTACCAATAATGGCTGGAATTCATGATCGCCGTGACCTTGGGCAAGTCACACTCTCTCAGCTTCGGAGGAAAGCAAAGGTAAACCCTCTGTGAGCAAATATTGCCACCTGGTCAGGGATGACATGAAGCCACACAGTAACTAGAAGTCATAGAATAGTGAGAACGCATGATATTTATTTGCTACTGCTATTATTGGTGTTGTTGTTGTTGTTATTATTATTGTTAATATAGTAACATATTAATAAATAGTTGTACGTTTTAACAATGCATCATCATTATCAAACACAGCTTCCATTTCACAACTAAAATGACATTTTTCAGTCTTGAAAAACGGAGAGCGATGGATTAAACAAACAATTGCAGCAGCAGCTTACCTTTTAGAAATGCCATTTCATTACAAGGCTCCTCGATGCATTAGGGTTAACATTTCCCTTGCTTTTCAACTCGGTATGAAATTGGACTTTCTCGCTCTTCTTTTGGCATTGCAGGACATCCCAGGGCTTGCGAGGAAAACAACTGTCAGGATAATTTTGCAGCTGCCATTTTCCTTCTGGACAGCCCTGCTGGTCTGCTTGATAGCTTATTTGTTTCTCAGTGTGCTTCCTGTGTAAATATGTCACTGGATACGTAACGCGAAAATAGAGGGGCTTTTTTGCCTTTGGGATGTGACAGGATCTCACAGGTGCTCATTTTCACCTCATTGCCTCTTTTCACAGCCTGGAATGAATATCTATCTATCCATCCAGCTATCTATCAAACTATCTATCTCTGGGTTGTTATAGTTTTTTTCGGGCTATATGGCCATGTTCTAGAGGCATTCTCTCCTGACGTTTCGCCTGCATCTATGGCAAGCATCTTCAGAGGTTGTGAGGTCTGTTGGAACTAGGAAAAAGGGTTTATATATCTGTGGAATGACCAGGGTGGGACAAAGAACTCTTGACTGTTGGAGCTAGGTGTGAATGTTTCAACTGACCACCTTGATTAGCATTTGATGGCTTGGCAGTATACCATGCAGCTGTGGACAAGTCTACATAGGGACCACCAAATGCAGCGCCCAAACACGAATCAAGAACATGAAAGGCACTGCAGACTACTTCAACCAGAGAAGTCAGCCATAGCAGAGCACCTGATGAACCAACCTGGACACAGCATATTATTTGAGAACACAGAAATGCTGGGCCACTCTCACAACCACCATGTCAGACTACACAGAGAAGCCATTGAAATCCATAAACATGTGGACAATTTCAACAGAAAGGAGGAAACCATGAAAATGAACAAAATCTGGCTACCAGTATTTAAAAAACTCTAAAATTACAACAGCAAAACAACAGAGGAAACAATCAGGGACATCTAATCACCTCTCAACAAAAGATTCCCCCAGGCACTAACAAGCCACACCAAAAAACCGCCAGGCCATCAAATGCTAATCAAGGTGGTCAGATTTTTTTTTGTCGTGTTAGAAGCGACTTGAGAAACTGCAAGTTGCTTCTGGCGTGAGAGAATTGGCCATCTGCGAAGATCGTTGCCCAGGGGACGCCTGGATGATTTGATGTTTTTATCATCCTTGTGGGAGGCTTCTCTCATGTCCCCGCATGAGGAGCTGGAGCTGATAGAGGGAGCTCATCTGCCTCTCCCTGGATTCGAACCTGTGACCTGTCGGTCTTCAGTCCTGCCAGCACAGGGGTTTAACCCACTGCACCACCGGGGGCTCCAAGGTGGTCAGTTGAAACATTCACACTTAGCTCCAACAGACAAGAGTTCTTTGTCCCACTCTGGTCATTCCACATATATATTAACCCAAGTTTCCAAATTCCAACAGACCTCTCATCTTCTGAGGATGCTTGCCATAGATGCAGGCAAAATGTCAGGAGAGAATGCCTCTAGGACATGGCCATATAGTCTGAAAAAACCTACAACAACCCAGTGATTCTGGCCATGAAAGCCTTCGACCATATATCTATCTCTGTCTTTCTCTATCTATCTATCTATCTATCTATCTATCTATCTATCTATCTATCTATCTATCTATCTATCATCTACACACACACAGGATGCATCTACACTGTGAACTAATGCAGTTTGATACTGTTTTAATTGCCATGGCTAACAGCAGGAGCTCACCTCGACCCGTGGCTTTGACCTGCCAACCTTTAGGTCAGCAGATTCAACAGTTGAATGGTTTGACCTGTTGCGCCACCGTGGCAAATGTAAACTCAACCCAGTTTTCTGTGGTTTGAGATTTTATTTTGGGAGGGAGATATCCATAATGATCCCCCACCCTTCGATAAACAGCTGTGTTTTATGAATGTTCCCTGGGATTTCTAACTAAGGTAGTAGACAGCAGTTAGTGGTCAGTTGGGACATATGTTTACGTGTCCCATGTCCTTCCCTAAACCTCCTCAACTAAACTGTACAGTGGAAGGGAGCAGAGGGCTTTATTGCACGAGGCAGGCCAATCTGCATTGCAATCAAATTGCATGATGTTGTGTGTATCCAATTGATGGCCTGCCGCCTCACTGTAATTCTCTTTGCCTTAACTATTAAGAGGTAAAGTCCATCAATGGCTGCCAATCCCATAATATTCCCATCAGCTACCTTGGTGTGAGGGGTCTCTTCCGCTTCAGTGCCAGCATGCCCAAAATGACATGACAAGGACAGTGTTTTTCTTTTGTTTTATTTCCTTACTATTGTCAATTGTAAACTATTTG